ATGCTATAAGAGTGTAGAGAAAGATTAAAACCAATGTACTGTTGAAACCAACGAACGTACTTTTTTAAAAGTCCCACCAGGGAACTATTGGAAATCCCACCAGTACCATGTGGCTATCAAAGGGCCAGCTTTCAGTGGTTTATATGAGCAATCTCTGTATATCTGTGTTTGTAATCCTTACAGAGGGGGGAAGAATAGGGAAGAGAAATTAGGGGCAAAGGGGAAGAAATAAAGGCAAGGCAAGATATTAGCTATTGTCCTCCAGAAATGATGAGGTTTGGCTTAATTCCCACCTATGTCCTTGAAGTGTCTTTTTGTGTGTGATCACAATACTTGGCTGAGGTTTTCTCTTGTGAATTGCTGCTGACTACTTTGGCCCTTCACGGAATTAATCCTTAGATAAAATTAGAAGCTGGCACCATTTTTCAGCCTATGCTACTAAAAATACATTGCATTGATCCTCTCTCTGTACTTTGGCATGCATGGGAGCAGAAAAAGAGTGGGAAGCTATTGAAACTGAGGCATAACAACATGTTCTGAAGTTGGACTTCTTCCGTGGCAATCAGCTGTGCCTCTCTTAAGGAGGCCTGGGAACAAAACGGATTTGGAATAGGAGTGTTGTGTGGCTCCATGTGTAAGAGCAGCTCTGCAGACATTATTTGGCCTTCAGAAATGGAAATGGCATGTACGTCAGTTATTGGAGAAATCTGCTGACTTTTGTATGGCATTTGCATTTTCTTATTGCTGTGGTGAATTCAGAAAATGGCAAACAGCCTCTATGGGATGAAGAGACAATGTGCTGGCATTCTCAGCTCCACTCAATTTTGCGATGCAAGGGCCAAAGCAGGAAAAATTGCTTATTAATTGAATACTATTTTTCTGTTACTTTACCTAACATGTACTTTGTCTTATACAGCTACATAGCTCATCTAAAGGCTTGAAAATTGAAACTCCTAGCAAGAAGGGTGCCTTTGATTCCCATAAAGGATTCCAGTAAAAGTCATTGCTTGCTATGTTTGAAGGGGAGAAAGCAACTGTATGTGCTATTTAATTGAAACCTTATGGAGTAACATCTAGGACCTGGATGATGACTAGATGATCACTGCAAAAACAGCTGTTCCCCCTCCCACCACTTGTGCCCAATGCTGTTTGTTACTAACCCTCTGCCAGACTTTGGCATTCCCCTGGCATAGCAACAGAATGATTTGTCTGAGCGCTCTTCTTTTGATTCAGTGCAAAGTCCATAAAAATGGTTCAAACACTCTTTTGTGTTGCCTGACTTACTGCTTAAGCAGACAGAGTTGATTTGCTCGGCCTGCGGTACCTGTTCTGCTTGAGCATGCTAACAAGCAGCTGGTAAGGGAGAGAAGTAGGGTACAGAAGTTTTGTTGTTAATTATCTGAACACAGTCCGTTGATAAATCATTTAATTGTTAGCCAAAAGACTTCTGGATCCATCTGTGGTAGTGGAAGATGTTTTTACATCCTGTCTCATTGCTACCCTCTCACCATATTGGTCTGTTGAAAGAGCAGGTGTGCTCCTGGAGTTTTAAACAAAATTAGCCAAATTGCACTAGTTGCAACACTTCAAACTTTAGCTCAACTGTTGTCATTCCTTGCATAGATAAGAACTCCTCTGCAGACAGACCAGTGAGGGCAATTAAGAATTATTTCCTGGATGAGCTGAATTCCAAACAGCTTAAGAGTTGGTGAAGGTGCAAGTTTGCACCAGGGGTGTTGTACCAATGCAAGTCTCTTCATGATATTCTGCTTTTATTTATAGTACTTTATAGTAATTGAAGCACGTTCCTGATAAACAAAAACTTAAGTTGTAAGTTTAAACTGAGTGTCCATATATTATTTTTTTTCCCCGTGTATTCTTTTGTTTGTGGGGAAAAAAATTGGTAAGTACCACTTGATGAGTAATAAACCAAATTCCGTTAGCTTAAGTACTAGGTTTATTTTTTTTAAATAGGGTCTCTATATGGAGTGATCAAATAACAAGACCAAGGTAGAAAATATTCAACCTTACTGCTGTTTTTTGTAACTATTTCATAAGTTACCAAAGACCACAAAAATATCTTTGACTGAATTATTTGACTAAGGCTAGTTAATTAAACTAACATTTTAAGTAAATGTTATTTAGGTAGCCCTGATTCCTGGATCTTTTCTGTTCCTGATTCACTTTCTTCATTTTTTCTTTTTCTTTCCTTCAGGAGAATATAGCATATACCTCTGCATCATTTTCAGTTCCTTCTCTTTTCACCTCCTATCCCTTTCCTTTTCTCCCCGCTCTTCTTCACCTCCACCCCTGCATCTTCTGTTTCTCCTTTCTTCTGCCACTTCTTGATTCTGTCTGTGTACTGAACTTCTCTTTTCAAATTCATTTTATCAGTGTCTCTCTCTCTGCCTCACGTGACCGTCACTCACCCACTCAAACCAGAGCATCTTTGTGCAGTCCTGGAAACATTCAGGTACTTAAACCTAGAGAGCTACTGTAGTGGCATGAATATAAGGCAGGAAAAAAAAATATTCACGAAGTGTATATTAAATAGCCCCCAGTCTGGCCTTGCAACCTGTTTCGCATCAGCTCTGCATGGTCCCTGACAGCTGTCTGCTTGCCAGACTTCTCTCAGTCCAAGCATCGTGTGTGAAGCTCCTTGTTACCTGGGCCCTGGCCCGCTCCTGCTGCCCGTGCCAGCCTCCCTGACAGCTCCCTGGCCTGCGCAGGTGCTCCTGGGGCTTTGGAGAGGGAAACACCGTATGTCCAGAATGGAAACAGACTTTTAAAACAAAGGCTAGGGGTCTTTTCTATTTCCTGTAAAAAAAAATTGATAAATGTCTCTATAATAGTTAGGCTACTATGGTAAAAATTACTGGCTTCAGATTAATCAATACAAAACAAGTAGATTTTGCTCAGTATTAATTATCAATACTGTCTACAGAGTTGCTGGAAAGGGGCAGGTGTTAAAAATCCTAACGAGTTGTTCAAAGATTTGAGCTTTTTTCCCGATTTAATAAGTGTGAGGATTGTGCCACTCCTCCAAAACAAGTTCCTGTTTCAAATTTTCCCTTTTTTCAATTTTATTTTGTATAGATCATAAAGGATTTCTAATTCAGGGTTCCTTAACTCTGTTTTTTATGTAGCTTTTCACTTAGAAAAACTGCAAGGTGATTTCTCTGCACAAACAATGCCTTTGATGCAGCATCTAAGCTGCTCTTTGTGGCAGTCATGTTTTGTCATGCAAGACGAAAAATAAAAACCTAAATTACTCTGTGTCATTCGACTGTTTCCATAAGGCTTCTATTGCAAACCCATGGATAGAAGGATCGTTTCACTTCTTTGAATAAGTTATGTAATTGGAAAAGTTCATTTCAGAATTAGAAACTTTTAGCCATTCATTAGCTTTTCGCTATAACATACATGATTATTATTTAGAACTAGGTAATGCTGATGTGAATTAACAGACTATCAATAATTTTGTTTAGAAATTAAATGTGAAAAACTAAAACGTAGAAGCTTGCATTTTGCAAAATGATCTGATGCCATAGCAACAGATGACAATTGCAATCAGATTTGGGGAGTTGCCCACGTTCCTTCTCACTCACCCCAGCCCATCCATCTCCATGGTGCAAGAGGTGAATTCTGACCTCTGTTTTCTAACCTTCCTTGAAAGAAACATACCCCACTTCTTGCAAAGAAGCTCCAGTTCTAGAACACTTGAAAGAAAACCAAAAGTAAATCCATGCAGTCAACATGCTACTTGCTCATGTACTGTTATTGGAAGATTAGTTTTGCCTCAAACTGCATTTCAGATCAGACTGACGTAATATGAGAGTATATTAATGGATTATATTTTAATTTGAAATAATTTGCTGTATCATTTTTTTTAGATTCAACTATACGTTGATATAATCTGATTTTTTTAACAGTTTAAATGCTGTTTAAAAATACCCCAATAACACTAAATGTATTAAGCCAAATACTGCTGTCAAACTGAAATGTTCAGGTTGCAAACTAATGCATTTAGACAGCTGGAGAAAATAAGAGTGTACTCATGTTTGTACTTTGATTCCAACTTGAGATGTAAGTCTAGTTAACAGGATACCCATTTTTGATTTTGATTTATAGCTTTATTTGCCCAGTGTTGAGATTTATTTTTTTTCTTAACGTACTTGTAGTCTTAAGTATCATGCTTCTTTTGTGGTACTTGTTATTATAGTATTGTCTTACCAGAGAAACAAGTATACAAGAAAATTGTAGCAGTACAAATTCTGCTGTACCCTCTGTCTGCGCTGACTATACCAATGGAATTTTATTTCTGAGTTCTCACCTTTTTCCCAGAGGTCTTGGGAGCTGTTGTGACAGTTCTAAATTAGGATTTTTGTTGTTGCTGCTAATTCTGATGTTGCTGGATTTTGTGTTTGCTGCCCTTGGTCCTGTTGAGTGGCTTCAGTTCTAACTCCAGAGAATGTGCTACATCCAACTTCTATCTGAAAGTATAAGAACAAAAAGCATTTAACTCCTTAATAATTTAAGGACAAGTCTACTGGAACCGTAAAATCTGAAATGTGTTGTGTATGTTAATTAAAGAAGCAATAATTGGAGTCTTAAAAGAATCAACTGAAATCTAATGTTACACACTTGTGCTATGTTGTAGTCCTGTAATTTCCAGCACTATTCACTGAATTCTTCACATACTTTTCCTCTAATCAGTCTGTAATTACCATGTAGTATAATTAGATTAATACACTTTCATTTATTGCAGTTGCCCATTAGAGGAAAATGTTGTACTTCTGCCTTTATATTTGTCCTGTATGAATGGCTTCGGAATTATGTACTTTCATTAAAGTGGCCTCAACTTACTAATTTACTTAGGTGAAGAACAGTTAATTTAATGATGCATGGAAACTTTCATTCTTGTTAAAAGTTTCTCTAGTGCTTAACCTTTTCCACTTACTTTTTTTTTTTCTTTTTTTTTCTTTTTTTTTTGTTCTTAGATGATGAGTACCAGTGGAAGGGGCCCTTCTATTTCATCCAAGGAGCAGATCCTCAGTTTGGACTGATAAAAGCTTGGGCAGTTGGAGACACTAAGAATGGAGATGATGAATGGGGAGAGGAAATCAAATTAGCAGAGCAAGCAGTGCAAGCCATTAACAAACTAAGCCCTAAACCGAAGTTCTTTGTGTTGTGTGGAGACCTTATCCATGGAATGCCAGGTAAGATAATTAAAAGTGTAGATTGGGGATTGTAACTCCATTTTCTTTATACTTCAAATTGGCAACAAGGCTAATTTAATTTATTTCATAATATTCTTTCATAGAATTTGGTATGCTACTGTTCTCATGTTTGGGGGGGAAACTGTGCTTTGTAAATGATTCTTGAGCCATTATTCTGATTTCTTCATCTGACTTCCTGTATCATTAATTTCAGGCGTGTACTTTTTTTTGTCAGTTTTTTTTTCAGTGGGCCTGAGAAATTTTCTTTGAAATAAAAGTCCTAAGAAGACACATTATAATTCTTTTTGGGGGGGACTCTAATCACTGGGGAAAATAGGGACTTCTTGCTTTAAGAAGACAAATGGGGACTCTAGCCATTGGGGAAAAACAATGCCAAGAAAAGAATAAAAAAAAAAAAGGGCTTTTTAAGTGCCTAAAGTGGGTGAAGCTCAGAATTTTCTGGCTTTCTAATGCTTAATAAATTCAACTGCTTCAATATTTAAATTCTTAAAATGCTAAAACTTAGCAAATTCAAGTTTGACAGTTACAACTTTGAAACAGGCTGGTAGTATTTTCTATTTTGAGAAGGTAAATACTGTTCTTGGAATTGAATGAAAAAGTGATGTTACTAGTTGACAAGTGGTCTCAAAAGCAGATGTAAGCACAGTGTCTTACATTTCTTAGCCTTGATGAGAAGCAGAGCTGCAGACAGCCTTAGCTGTGTCGCTGACAGCACAACAGTCCACTGAGTGAGGTTGCAAATACAGTCCTGTGTGCTCTACACTATGCTCTGCTTTGCATTCCACTTGCTCCTGAGGTGGTTCTTCCCAGCTCTTGTTTGCACAGGAAGGCTTTGAGCATGTTAGAGACCTTTCACTAATTTCTTCAGTGTCTCACAAAGTGGATTTTAAAACCTTAGCTGTCAAATTGATTGACATTATTTATAGGCTACAGACTTTCTTTTGACCAGAACGCAATTTTAGTGATAGAGTGGGAAAGAGTAAAAACCAACAGATTTAAGCTTGATAGAATCTACTGTATAAAATCTCAGTAGCTCGGTCATAATGTGAAGTCTGCCATTACACAGTTGTTTTATTGGTTTATGTTCTTCCATTAATTTTGGAAGTACAGGCTTGACCCAGAATCATAAAATAAACTCTTCCTAAGAATCACCTGGCCTTCCTATAGCAGAGTTTTAATAAGTGTTTCAGTTAAGACTTCTAATTCTTGTAAGCATTCCAAATAGGTTATCTTCAGTATTCTCTGTAAGAGGAATAAAATTCAGGACGTATAATTGGTGTTCTACATCCTGTTGGAAAGGATCTTTCACTCAAATTTAAATAATCCAAAAAGCTAAGTTAATATCATTTTATCCGGATATTTCTCAAAGAATTATAAAACAATGTGGAGTTCTGAGTACTTTTATCTATCTAAACATTATTCTAAGGCTTTTCTGTTGATAGAGGGTAAGTGCCAACTACAGAGTGCTAGCAATCTTCTGACTTCTACTGGGCAATGAATGGTTAGATACAATAAATAAGTCTTGCATGTTTTATGGTGTTTTTTTCTAGTGTTAGATCTCTGCAGTCATTGTTATCCCTTTTGACAGTGCAGGTCTCAGACTTCCCTAGTATTTTAAACACAAACCTGTCAGCATTTTGTAAAATGTGATCATATATCCATTTTTCTACCAAACATGGAAAAAAAAAACCTGAACTGATTGTAGTGTTGAGATCACGTAGGTTGTGCGATGCATGTGTATATAAATATTTGAAGCTGCCTAGTGCAATTTCCAAGAACCTGCAAGAAAGAGAAGTTCATTACTTGATGATCTTAAGGGTCTTTTCAGCCTAAATGTTTCTGATTACTTCACTTGAGCAACCATATTTTAATTCATCTAATAATTTGTTGATTGAGATTATGTTTTGTAAGCCTCTTTTATCACGTAGTTATATACAATAGTTAAGGAAATGTATTACTAAAAGGAATTTTAGAATATTCAACTGGAACAATTACTTATTTCATTACTGCCTTTGTGTTTACACAGTGGCTTGCTGTGCCATGAGTTGGTAAATATATAAGTACAATTTAACAAATTACAATTACTGTAAACCATTTGTCTTTCTATCTAAGCTCATGAGAGAGATAAAAGTGAATTGCTCTACCATGCAGATACCTGTGGATTGGCACTCTCACTAGTTGCCCAGAAGGGCAGGGAGATGTGTGATACAGCAAGGGAGACAGAAATGCAGTCAGAAAAATACTTCATAGAAGATAAATATAAATCTGTGTGTGTGTTTAAAATAATTTATCATAGAATGGTTAGATTTGGAAGGGACCTTAAAGATCATCTAATAACACTTAGAAATAATAGATTTTTCAAAGGATTTTTTCCTACCTTTTCCTGTTGCCTACTTAGCTTCTGGAATAGAAATTCCTTTAAAAATACAAAAAGATATAAAGAAACTGAAAGAAAATATATTTTAAAGCAAGGCAACTCACATCCTGTTTTAAAAATGTCTTACCAAGATACACATTGACAGTTTCTTTAGTTTGGTTTGTTAATATGAGACATTGTAAGACATTGGCGTTAAGAAGCCAAGATGTTGGCCCTGTAAGAACTTATTTGCTGCATATTCTTTTATCAAAATAGAAATCCTCTGATGTTAGAGATTAAAAGTTTCCTCATTCCTTGCAGTGAAATGTTTTGGAAAACTTGGAAGTACTGAAGTCACATTCTCAAGTTCTCTGCCCCATTGCTTGCTAAACTCTAGGGATTGAGGTGACTTCCTTCTCATGGAAGAATGATTTCTTAAATTTCTTCTCTTACATGGGTATGTGGTTGAACTGTGAGTGTGTTTCTGCACCAGTTATGACACAGATAAAAAGCAGAAGCCATTATATTCCACTGTAATCTGGCACAACTCTCCATTAATTCCAGTACTAATTCTGTGGTAGAGGTTTAATGTCTTTACATAATCCATTTAAACAATTCTAATTTGTGAAGACACAATGGCATAAAAAGCTGACAGCAACTGATTAAATTATTTTAAAAATTTTAGAAAGCGTTCAATTTCAAAATTGTAAGGATAATACTGAAATTTGCCAGCACTTTCATTATTTGTTACAACAAAAATTTGAAATTGCAAGAAGTCTTTTGTAAGTTTATGAAAAAGAGAAAACAGACAATCTAAGGATTTTTATAGCCAATAGCTTTTCAGGTAATTTGAACATATAATGTTTCCAGAATTGAAGGCCAGTAGTAAGATTTCTTTCCATGGAGTAATTTAAGTATTTTCACTGTTCTAGCCAAGGATGTTTAGACCTATGTAATGCATGTCTGTAGGGGAATGGTACTGTAATAGTTTCATGCTTCTCCACTGAGGAGTGTCTCCAAGAATAATAGCTGTGTCAATTCCCTTATCGTGTTAGTTCATAAAATGAAGGATTAAAAATTCATTTTTTCAGTAGGCAAAAATCAGAAATGACATGAGACAAGACATTGATTTAAGTTTAACAATTGTGAATTTGGCTTATACATGCATCTTATTTAATGTTTCAATTTGCCTTTTAAATCACTTGGGTATATCAGCTATATTAAAACTGAAAACATCAGCGTTAATGAAAATGTATCACAGTCACTATTGCAGCATGATTATTGAAGAAAGCTATTGTCAACTAAAGTTCAGCTATTTTATAATACATAGGCCAATGTTTATCAAGTTCTTTGGATTATACTGCTTTCTAATCAATGCCTGTCAAAAAAAGGGGGGAGGGGGAAGAAACCCCAGATCCTCCTCTCTTGTTTTAATATATTTTCTCGTGGAGTACTAAGTGTAAAGTTTATGACTCTTTTAAAGTGTACATTGTAGCCATTTAACTGAAGCAATGTTGAGGCCTTTTGCAAAGGAACTCCAAGAAATCTCAGAATTCCAGCAGCTAGAAGTGATGAACAGAATCCTGATCAGCTGGGAAGCAATCAGGCACAGCACTTGGAATCCATTACAGATGTCATTAGAGCAACGAAGTAATCAGTGCCAGTATCTTGGTATTTAGCTGCTGATTAAAAGTAGTTTGTACTCTGAATATTATTTTCAGAAGTTTTTCTTGATTACATAATCAAGAATAGGATATCTATTCCTGGTAACGCTAATATTGTGGTACATAATCAAGAATTTTAAGCAATACCTTATAGTGCAACTGTGTTACTGAAAATAATTTCTATAAACTCAATACTTACACCTAGATACACCATGATAATGAAAGACTTACTTCTGAAGACATTTGTGTTCATGGAGTTAGCGTACCTTAACTTAGTATGGCAAAAATGGTAATCTGCAAAATGCAAAATACTGTTGATTTGATAATGTGTTTGTTTCACTGCGTTTTTCTAAAACTCTGGAAACTTATTTCTAAAAGTGTTTTTTCTTATATCAAGTTGGAACCTTCTGGTTTGTTTTATGTCACCTTCCCATATTGTTCCATTAACCAATAGCCTTTGAGCCCAACAGTCCAGCCAGTTTCTCACCTACCTAGGATGCTGCAGTCTAGAAGAGTGGAGAACTAACTCCACAACCTTTTGATGATTTTAAAGAGGTGCACCATGGTGACAGCAGCCAGCTCTCTCACTGCTCTTGGATGCATCCCATCAGGTCCCATGGACTTGCTTTGATTGAAATTTCTCAGGAGATACTTGGCTTAATTGAGGATATCCACTACCAGTAGTTCCTCTGCTTCTTTAGCTCTGGGAGAACATTTCAGCGAAGACAGGCAAAAGAAGCACTGAGTACCTTTCACTTGTCACTCGGCAGTGGGACTGTATTTTCTTTGTTTTTAATTTTATTGGTAAAGCAGTAGCAGGAGCTTTTGCTGCCTATCATGCCCCTTGCTAGTTTCAGCCCTCTGTGCACTTGGTTTTCCCGACACCAGTCCTGCATGCCCAGGTACTTTTTCGGTATTACTCCTTTCAAGTCTATCTTTGCTTCTTTCTCACTTTTACA